GGATGGGGAAGAGGATTAAGTAATAATATAATATATGGATTCAGGCTTCGTGAAAAAATCATTTTGCTGCTGCTGTAACATAAAAACCTTCTTTAACTTTTTTCTAACATTAACGAAGCGTTTTATATGTTGTAATTACTTTTATTCAAACTTCAAAGAAGTTATTAATTGGCTTTTCGCGAAATACACCCAGGGCTGGGGAATAATAATGTATATCCTGAAACGTCGTGCTTTTGAAGGAAAACGACCCTCATCTGCAGTCACAGCGGCCACAAAAAAATCTGTACAAAAATATCCAACAAAGATAGAAGTGCCACATCGCAGAAATGAAGTCATGAATCTACAATCTCTTAAAATTGATACCATTACGATTTCCAATTTGTGGCTCTGTACTTTTTCCCATTTGTGTTTGTTTTTTACAGCGATCGCAACGCCATAAGGTCATATGAGCGCACGGGACACACTGGGCATTTTCAGTTTAGTAGGAATTAATTTTGAATTTTGCCGGGCGGCGGCCGAAGCCTACCTTTATAGATTTCAGGGACACCAAGGGATCTGTAACGTGTTTTTAGCCCTTATCCGAGAAGGCTTGGTGTTAAAATCTTATCTGCTCTAAGATCAGGGGTGTGTCTGAAAGACAGCAGTATGAAGGAGCCAAAGATTAGCAAGAGAATAGCCGCAGAAAGAGCCAAGAACCCAGAGAAGGGGTTTGGGGCTGGGGGAGAAAGTGAAGACAAGACGAAAGCAGACGACATTGCATAAGTATAGTAGGGAGCAGAAAATGATGTGAAAACAGAAAATGTGTATCTTAGAGAAAAACATTTTCCGTCGCTTTGAGGATTCGAACCCCGGACCTATTGAATGAAAGGCAAACACCATAGCCTCTATACCACTAGAGCCCCTCCCCATTGAGCTCTTCGTATATGTTTGCATTAGTTTAAAAGGCGTATGCACATAGATAATGTACTGTGTGGTTGTTGGCTCTACAGAGATTATCTGCATGATTATCATTATCATTTATTATGTTTTGTGCTAGTGACAGCAACGCCCCTGCTGGGGGGGGGGGGGGCATAGTTTTACTGTAGGGGAGCAAAGAACAATATCTGCCGTGATAGTGCGTGTCGTAAGAGACAACAATAATATGTATTTTGGTTTGTTCTCCCGAAAAGAGCCAGTTTGCGGAGGGCCAACTATCCGACCCTGCAAAACTGAAAGATACAGAAACACGGTTTGTCTATTTTGTGATCTTGGGAGACAGAGGAGCTTCTGCATCAGCATGAACAATGAAGGACAGTGGACAAAAACGAAAGGACTCCTGATCCGAAACCCTCTCTGTCGAACAAGTCTCTCCGGATTACGCCGTGGAATGTTCGCACCATGTATAACTGAAAGTGGGAAGATATGGAATAACATCAAGACGCTGGCCCAGGATACGGTAAGGTAGAAAGAGTTTTTTCGTGGCCTATACCCTAACCCAAGGTGAGAAAAACAAAGATGATTATGATGAGTGATAGCAAAGAGCAGATTAACAAGTACACCACAGATTTCAGTGATTCTCGTGTAAATGTTCATGTTCCTTTTTTTTTTTTGCCTGTGCCATATCGGTGTAATTTCAGTGTCGGTTTCGTTATTGACGTTTTCTTAGCCTCAAGATGTAGAAGCATTCATGGAAAAATTCCCCAGCTGAATAAGGCAAACATGGAGGTAGAACAATAATACTTTGAAGCCTACAGGACAACATTTTGCGTCCTCAATTTGACATCAGAGTTTGGTGTCAGTGCGCCCGATAATTTTTCTCACACCCACCTCATGCTTGGAAACCCACGTTCTGAAAAAAAAAGTTAATTCTCTGGATTACTGTTGATTAAGATTCAGAAGGTTAGATCAATGTCCTTTTACTTTTAGTCAGAGTTTTACGGCTTTTGTAACACAGTATTGACATATTAGTGCCGAAGATTAAAGGATTACAGGGAGAGTAACAAAATAAAAAGAAAGCGAAGAGAAAAGGACGATACTAGTAGTTGTTTTACAAGGAAGAAGGAGCAATCCACACCACAGCACCTGGTCCTGCCAATCATCCACCACTGAATCTTTTAAAAAAATTATATGCACATGAAACCTGGGGGGGGGGGGATACAAAGTACCTGATGCAGCCTAGGCTCATATAGACTTTACCCCCAATAGTCCAGTGTTAAGTGAGTTTGAGAACCATGATGTAGAAGTTTTGGGTGTGTCCTTGTGTGGACAGATGTTACAGCAGTTTCACAAACAAAGGACATCGATTTAGAGGCAAGTTCGGGGCCCGAGAGAAAGGAGCAACAGGATCAACTAAAGACGGACAAAGCCTTTCAGGTGTTTAAATAGTGAGAAAGTCTTGACTCGCTCACAAATGTCACGCGCAGACAACATCCCTCTCACAACATGGGAACCTACCTTTATCCCCCATCTCCTTTTTTTCATTCTATCCCCCCCACCCCGAATTGACACACCTCACAACCACTTCCCCCC